TTCGTGTTAGTTCCACACGTAACATTTTGGCGACCACGCCAGGACCGCCAACGAGGAATATTTGCCGATATTTGACTCTATAAGAGGCGGTCGCGAACTGGACGACTAAACTATGTTGACCTCATGGTCATCGTTACAAGGATTTTAAAGAAGAGCAACAAAATCATCGGACTTCATGGTGTTATAAAGTGATCATTGGCCGAGGAATACAACGAACAGGAACATTGCTTAAGTGGTTAACCCTAATGATACCTATTGAGACTCAAAAGACTTATTTAGTTGCAGTAAATTAGGGGCGTGTTTACACAATGGCGGATGAGTTAGAACAAAAGCAAGTCAAGCTGGAACACAAAATACTCGACCTTTCTTTAGAACGGTTGGCCGAGCTGGCGGAGCATCTCAAAGTTAACGTTGAAGGAGATGGCAGACTACGAATGGCCAAGAAAATTAGAAGTAAGGCAGAGGAAATCATCGACAGCGCAGAAGACAAAGAGAAGGCGATTGACGAAAAGATTTCAGGTTTTCAATCAAGTACCGCCCGGGTAGTACTAACGGTGACGCTGATGCTCTCTCACGTATGCCTATAAATATTGACACCTACATAGGGTCCTGTTCCCACGAGACATCTAGCGAAGACATCTTTGCCGTGTTAAAGGGAATCAACGCCCAAGAGAAAGTTAATCCTGTCTGGGTGTCTGTATTGAACGGTACAGTGACACCTACAGATGATATGACCGGATTGAGACTCAACGGCCTGTCAAAGACCACAATTCTCGACGCTCAAAAACAAGATCCATCAATTGGACGTKTTCTTGCCATGAAGATGGACGGCCGGCGTCCAACTGTTAGACAGACRAGGAGGGAACCACTAGCTGTTCGAGCACTGCTTCGACACTGGACAAAACTCCATGTAGATGAAAATGGCCTACTCCGTCGACGCAGCGCAGACGCAACACAACTAGTACTTCCAAGTCAATACCATGCCCTCGTGTATAAAGAATTACATAAAGACATGGGACACATAGGAGCGGAGAAAGTTGTTGACCTTGCACGCCAAAGAGTGTTCTGGCCAAATATGGAAAGGGACATCACACATTTCATATCTCAAGTATGTGAATGTTTGAAGCAAAGGAGACCACACAGGGAAACACGTGCACCTCTTGGACAAATAACTACTACCGCGCCATTTGAACTGATCTCAATAGACTTCCTCCACCTGGAACGCAAGAATAAATCATCAGTGACAGCAGCTAATTGTCTATATAACGATTTCTTCTTGCGGTTTGGATTCCCAGGGTCCATTCTACACGATCAGGGCAAAGAATTTGAAAACAGACTCTTTAAGCAACTTCAGAGCCTGTCAGGTACAACACGCTTGCGAACGACTCCCTACCACCCGCAATGCAATGGGAAAGCAGAACGCTTCAACCGCACACTTTTGTCTATGTTAAGGACACTGCCGGAGAATTTGAAAGGTCGATGGAAAGATTCGTTGAATAAGGTCGTTCATGCTTACAATTGCACAAAAAGTAACTCAACTGGCTATTCACCGTTTTATCTAATGTTTGGGCGGGCACCGCGACTTCCTATTGACATCATCCTTGGAACATTAGATGAAAGGGGGACAGCCAGCTACAGTGRGTTTGCGAAGAAGTGGCAAAAAGAGATGAACGAAGCCTACCAGAAAGCATCAACAAATGCCAACCTATCATCTACACGCGGGAAAAACAACTACGACACAGAGCTACTACCTGGCGATCGTATCTTGGTAAGGAACCTATCCGAACGTGGAGGCCCAGGAAAGCTTAGATCGTATTGGGAAAAGAAGGTCCATGTWGTCGTGGAAAAGAAGGAGGGGTTACCAGTATATGTAGTGAGACCAGAAGGACGCCAAGTCGGTAAGACGAGAACGCTACATAGAAATTTACTCCTCCCATGCAACTGCCTACCTCCGGATCAAGTCCAAGAAGTACAGAGAGACGTAAACATGCACCAGCAGCAACAACAACAGATGGCAACTGAAAATGACCAAACCGAGGACGATGAAAACCTGATTAGGGGCTTGTTGCCATGTGAGATACAAGAGACTTCAACTTGTGACACAGATGATGACTCTCTCTCTGATGAAGATAATCATGGTTCAGAAACGATCGACCTTGATCAAGAAGAAGATAACCATGAAGACTCCTTTTCGGAAACTGCTTCAAACGCAGATCAGGCAATCATCGATAGATATCATACGGTAAGTTTTTAACTTTGATTCCAACTTGTGCATAGCACCAAAACACATATCTATCTGGCTTATAATCTGCACCTTAATCTGGCTTATATATAATCTTCAACTTTAGCAATTGTTTACTTCTGTGTAAAACATCTCGAGTAGAGTTTATCTTCGTTGCTTCTGTCTCCGATTATATTTCGTTTGCTTGCCTCCCCTTTGTATCGTACGTTTTTTATTTTTTATTTTTTTTATGCTAGTTAGAAGACAATGTTACTATGTATAAATAGATATTACTAGTTTATGGTTATCAATTTGATGTTAAAAAAATATCGAACCGGTACAATTACAATCATTGACTTAAGCTTATAGCGTTTCACAGTAAAGCAGAAATGTTTTCAACAAATTTTAAGGTTCTTTTTTCTTGAAGGGCTTTTATTAAAAATTTTATAAAGGTCATGGTGTTCCCTGAAGCACCTGAGAAAAATACAAAAATATAAAGTATTACATGGGCGAGCGGAGATAAGGATTATCTTAAAATGTTGAAAAGACCTCTCACAAAGGAAATCAAGTGAGGGTAGCGAATTCTGTTTCATCATACAAGTATTTATACTGTGGCCCAGCTTCTTTGTTCAACATGGATTTTATTCAAACTAACAAAACAACCTGACAGCCATCTTGGATCTCTCACAAAAACATCCCTCGCGGGCCCCCAAGATCCCCTGCGCGCCACAGGGATCCCGCGCGCCACAATACGAAGGACAATCATAACTGATAATTAATAATCACTTATTTACCACAAAAGTGCTATACTTCCACTAGTGACAAACAAAAGTAATTGTACATTACGATACGTATAGATTGTTGCAAATTAATTGTGTCTTATTCTTCTGTTGGAGTTCTGTTGGTAATTAGCTTCGTCACGTGATCGTTGCCCCTCCATTGTGCGTAGAATCTGTAATTGATTTTTTCTTCCATCTGTACAAGCATACCATAATAATAAGATCAATAAACTCGCATATTGTCAAGAGACTGCAGCCAAGAAACAGACCCATGTTGCCTCCAATGTCCGCTGAAAAAGAACAATAATTCATTTGATTATCGTTG